GAGCCTTGGTTTGAGTGAATTGGAGGAACACTCGTGTAACTCCAGTCTCAAATCAAGGAAAGGATTTTCAAAAGGATCTTTCAAAAGGTTTTCAAAATAAGTAAAGGAGGATGCAGGGTGTACGATCATCCGGAGCCAGTAAGTAGACCCCAAAATACCATACAAGTTATTTGATATTATGTGATATGTTAGAACAGCATGCTAGTAATAAGATAGGGATCCTCAGGACTCGTATGATAGAATTGCCTGATCTTTGATGTCTTATCTTATGTAGAGTACCTCAATTGATTGTTTGTGACTCTTTCGCATGTGAACTAACTATTAGGTGAATACTCTAAGTCACATGCTACATGGGTTAAATGGCCTTAGGGTAAGGGATTTGGTCCTGCTGCGCAGCTCTTGTTGCGCCACGCAACACTTGGTTTTCCGCAGCTGTTTGTTTTTTGGAAGACTTCTGACTTAAAAAACTGTTGCGCTTATGTTGCGCGGCGCAACATTGGACCATCCTCTCCAAACCACTTCTCAGTTACTTTAAAATATATTATTCAACTTAAATTTGTTTTAATTTTTTTTTCAACATGTTTATTATTTTAATAATATTTGAAGAATATGTAAACAATTGGAGTATATTTTACATAATTTCAAAACCGTTTTGTAAATTTCATATAAATATTTTTTGTGTTATATTTAGGGCTGTTCACTATTTGGATAAAACCGAATTGTCCAATTGGACAATTTGGATTGGACTATTTGGTTCGAATTTTTGGATTTTTGGATGGGTTTCGAGTAAAACCGAATTATTATTTTGGATTTCGGATTGGTTACGGTTTATAAAATTAAAACCGAATAGTCCAAAAAAACCAAATAATAGTTTATTATTTATTTATTTATATATTTGTTTCAAATATACATCTTTTAGTTATTTATTAATTTGCTAAATTGATTTTTTAAATAGATTAGAAAGTATTATCCAATAAAATACTTCAATGTATACTTTTCAATAGTTTTTTATCTATAAAATATTGAATTATAATAAAAGTTTTAATAGTTGTTCATAATTTTAATTCTCATCAAACAATTTATTTTAAAGTTGATTAATATTATGTTATATATATTTTTAAATGTCTTGCTTATTGAAAACCGAATTGTGAAAACCGATCCAACCGAATTGTAATTTGAATGGTTTGGATCGGATTTGAATTTAATTTGGATTATTCGGATTCACTTTTTGAAAACCGAAATTAATTTGGATTCACCTG